ATTGTATGAAGCAATATCAGTAAATACGAAAGCATCGGATTTCAAACTAAATTTAAAATTTTATCGACCTTATTTTAAAGGTGGCCATCGGTGTCTCATAGACGCGCCACTGGTGCCAATGGGCAGTTATTGGTGGAAGAAGAGTTTTACGGGTAGGGGGGCCATCGGCAGGTTATAGGCGTGGGATAGGCGGTGCACGCCACTCTTAATTCACTATATAAATCATAGTCGCTCCACCTATGGCGTCCGCTGATAGATACTCAATAGACATAGTTACTCACACATACTTCTATGCGTCGTTTTGAATGATTTGTGTTTTGAAATTGTCTTGGTAAGAATTTCCAAAGCAACATATGAGACTCGCGTCTGTGAAATGAGAAAGAGAAAAATCGCTATGGATGCAGATAATAGGAGATGCAGTGCAATGCAACAGCTAGTCGCCTCTGAAGACGTCAATCATCACAAATTATAGTTGCATCGACTAGTCGACTCAACTAATCGACGCAACTATTCGCCTCGTGTATAAGCACCTTTAAGTGTTGCCAAAGATCGATGAAATGGTGAACAAGCTTTCTACTTACAAATTTTCTTACCGGTTGATCTGATGAGCGCATATCATCAGATACCTAAAGATTTGTGACAGGACAAAAAAATTACAGCCTTTGAAACCAATGGAAGGCTCTACCAATAAGAGATACCAAGATCGCTTATGGTGTCACCGCTTGTGTGACAGTATTTCAGCGTGCTGCGTATAAGATGGTGTGTAGCGGATCTCGCTACAGAACTACTTTTGTATTTAGGAAATGAATTTAGAGTGAATTCATGCTAGCGAATCACTGCTTCCGCCGGCAACACTTATTTCCGGTTGAACACTTCCACAGCACTGCCACTGCCCACTCTCACAGCTCATTTCTATAGGTGCTTGTACTACACGGGGACATTACAGGCGGCAAGTAAATCTGGCAAATGTCTTCCGCTTGGTGTTTATCTGGCAAGTATGCCTGTACACGAGGACAGTGTAAGGTGCCGATATCTTCTCGTTCGTGCCCGCCAGTACATCGTTAGAATCTGTCGAGTGAGGTCTATGAAAATGGAAATTGAGATCATCTTCAACAACTCGAGTCTGTACGTTGTTTTTATATTCTTTATTCTAGCTCTTAAAATGCAACGTCGGGAACAACTAAACACTGACTAATAAGGTCTTCTCTCAGTTGCGAAATATTCTTCATTTTGTTGGAGTAACCAGCATGGCGAACATTCCACATGTGTTCTAAATTTTTCATATATTTGGAATATCTCAAAGAACAATTGAATATCGTCGGGACTCCACTTTGTTGGGTTCTTCTTAGAACCATTCTGGTTCAAACAAGCTATGATTCACTTGACCCAAGATGCGTCACAAGAGCGGCACAAACCCTCTCATCATGGCTGAATCAGCCCAACTGACCGCATCTGTCTCACCCCATGGTCGAACTAATATAATAATAGCGGTTTCAGCGTTTATTACGCCGTAGGCCTGTCGCCGATTCCTAACATCGCACAACATTCACAGCTTGATGCGGTCTTGATCTCGCAATCTCACTGCTACAATTCTGCTGATCTTAAACGCCCGGCCTCCTTGCCGATTCTGACCAGAAGCTGGCGCACAGAGCTGGGATCGAACCCGCTCCTCCCTGCGCCAATCTTGGTAATCTGCTGAACTTTTAACCACCACTGGGCCACCCTGCCACTAATATAAGGTTGACCCACGGCGATGACAATTTTTCCCCGTTCTGCGCATCTCTAGAGTGACGTCACTGCGGACACAAAATGTAAATAGTGTAGATCAACACATGGTGTTTATGTCATCTTTGAAAGCATTTTAAAAAATTGACCTCATCAAAATGCCCAAGGAAATTTATTTACTGCATGCAAATAGTCTTATTTTAAGCAAAACTGGTGTTACAAATAAGTTTGACATCACGAGGTGACGTCACAAGAGTAGTAATTTGCAGTTTGCCACATTACAAGCTCTCAGCCTCTCAGGCCCAACGGTCGTCCTCGTCTCCTCGAGGTCGACCTGTGGCTTTAAGTCAACCCAGTGTAGACACCCCGAACAGAAGAAGAAGTACTTTGCCAAGCCAAATTGCCGTAGATGGTAGAGGTATTGGATTTGGAGAGCGTCGGAACTTAGAACAAGTTCCACCGCACTCCGCAGTGACTAGTCACTAATCACTATTGATACACTGAGGCTGACTCCTATGGTGAACAAAAACTGCCATGGCACGTGGGTCATGGTTCGGAATCCGATACTGGGTCAGCGTCATTTTTGAGTTCTATAAGTAGCTAGACCTCTATAAGTAGCTAGACCAGCTGCAGATGTGCAGGTCTTGTCCTTGAATGCTCTTTGTATGAGAGCTTGATGGCATAATAAGCATAAGGCATTCACTTTCTTTGTGAAAAGTGAGGGAAGTGAATGCTATAAAACCAGCAGTCTAGCTCTTACTCTAGCACTGGGCGTCATAGTGGCAAAGCAGAGAGTTTTTTAGACTCTCCTTCAAGTTCATTTTTGAGTCCTATAAGTTGACCAGGAAAGTATCCTGGATACCAGCCTTATCATACATAAGAAATTGGTTTAAATCTTAGGTGAATGAGGAAATTAAAAATGAACTGATTCTAAAAAATCTCTGGTTTGTCACAGTGTCACTATGCTGGGCGTGCCTTGGCCTAATGCAAAGAGCATTCAAGACCTGCACATCCGACTGATCCGAGCATAGTGGCAAAGCAAAGAGTTTTTTAGACTCTCCCTCGAGTTCATTTTTGAGTCCTATATGACTAATAAAGTATCCTGGATACCAGCATTATCATACATAAGAAATTGGTTTAAATCTTGAGTAAATGAGGAAATTAAAAATGAACTGATTCTAAAAAAGCTCTGGTTTGCCACTATGGATCCGAGACTCACCAAGAGTGATTTGAAAACTGAACTCAGAACTTGTAAACAAATCCTAGTAAATAATAGGTTTCCAAAATCCAAATAGAACTGTTGACAACTTGACAGTGGAAAAAAAATAGTTGATTGAGAAATAACCAAATCAATAATGAGACAGTTTATAATGAAACCGTTAGTCTGTCACAACTTCACAAGTTCACAACAATCTTCTACCAAAAGCAGATGAATCAAGGCCACAAACACAAAGTAGGATGAATGAGTCATTGAGTCCTACAGTCAATCATCCATATTCCATAATAATATTAAGAGCACAGCACATAATGGAAAAATAAAACTTCTGATCAACAAAAATGATCTCCAGCTAGGCTATCGGCATTCAAACGACAGGATTTGTCCAGACACTGATAATATTTTCAGAGTAGCTAGTTTTAAGATTAGATTTCAAATTGTATCCAGAATAGGGTAAACGCGGTATATTCCGACATCGTGGGTAAGTGTAACTAGTCTGGAAAAGTCCTATTTTTGTCTGAAATATCGCGGCTCTAATATCATATAATTTTAGTAGGTATGAAATCTTGCGGCTCAAATGTCATAAATTTTTGTTTGATTAAAAAATCGCGGTTTGCACTTCGCAAACATGTCATTTCGTAAAATTTTCAACTTCCGCAATCCGCATTACTTTACCGTTTCCGCCAAAAATATCTTGCAGAAAAAACATAAATATCATAATGTAAACAAATAAACAAAACGTTTGTTGAAGATCGCGCATAGTTGCGGTCATGTCAAAGCGGTCAGACTGTATATTAACACGTGCTGAACTTACAGTAGAGACAAATTTTATTGTTGCCGTTTGACTGTTTAAGGGTAAAATTAGAGATTTGGGGTAACACGTGCATAAACTTTGTAAATAAATTGACGTCACCATTTCAACCATCAACAAACGGATGGAACTAAAACAAAGCTTAATATAAAGGAAAAGCTGGAGAGGTGACGGAATTTCCTACGATGTCGGAATATACCGCGTTTACCATATACTTGTATTCGCTGATTTCAAGTGGTAAATAAATTAATAGATGATTAAGTTGAGAAATGGATTAGACACATGAAAACTAATTCCCTCACAACTTGAATTAGGCACACACCGATCGTTCCAAGCTATGTACAAAAATTAAAATTTGCTTAATTAAAAGCTTAATAGTTGTTAATTAAAAGCGTAATTAAGTAGTGTTCAATATTCATTAGTGTTCTAATTCAAAGCCGTGTTGTATTCCAATACAGCTCACACAGCGAACGGAATTCAAACACGTGGATGACGGCATTACGTAGTATTGTATATTCAAAATGTTGCATTCTATTGAAATGTCATTTGGTTACCTGCTTTTTAATCTCCCTGCACCAGCGAATAATTTTGTTAGATAAATTGAAAGAAAAAGCCAAATAAAAAGATTGTTAATGAAAATAGGATACAAATATACAAAAACTTACTAAATGTACCTATCTAAATAAGCAAAGTATACTAAAAATTTCTAAATTGGAAAAAAGTAATTGAATATAAAAAAGCTAAGTAGGTAATTGATTTGATAATACCTTAGATTAAGTGCATAAAAAAGGTGTTTTTTTTAATTATATGTTTTTCGGGGTGTAGATTAAGAATCTGAAATCCGTTTTTGGCAGTCGGCATCGGAAATTTTTAATGGAACCTTTTCCTAACTGGACCTAACCTGCGAGATTTTCATTGATTGGCTAAGTTTTTTCTATGTTTGGAGTCCGTCCAGCAGCCAGAAAAACCTAGCCAATAGGTTTTTTCTATGTTTGGAGTCCGGCCAGTGGCCAGAAAAATCTAGCCAATCAACTAAAACCTTGCAGGTTAGGTCCAGTTAGGAACAGGTTCCATTAAAAATTTCCGATGCTGACTGCATAAAACAGATTTCAGATTCTTACTCTACACCCAAAAAAACACATAATTAAAAAAAACGCCCTTTTTTTGGATGCACTTAATCTAAAGTATTACCATTGATTCAATTGTAATATATAGATATTCTCCTAAATCCATTGTATGCTACAGCTCAATTCAGTTGCAATTACTATAATTAGTACTAACTACTACTGTCACACTGTGACTGTCAGGGAATTAAAATTTTCAGTTGGGAGTTGAGTGAATGCAAAAAGAGTTTAGTTGTTCCTTGATAATGAAAGCAATCCACTCATTAGGAATGAATAAATTTCCATACCAGGTTTTGTTACAGAACCTATACATGTGTTTCAAACTTTTGTAGTTTTTTTAGTACTGGAATATAGTCTATAGCTGCTGCAACTAAGATGGCTGCTAACAAAGGACCTCAAATTATTGATTTATCAAAGTTAAACTTAGAACAGCTTACTGCCTTGAAAAACCAGCAAGACCAGGTAAGTCATCTTCACCACCTTTCACTGTTTTTTTATGCTCTTATCTTCAACATTCTTATCTGATGTTTCTCATTTTCAATATAATTAGCTATAGTCATTATGTTAGCATATGGTGTGTAGATAAAAATTTACTTGATGAGCTGGAAACGTGTTTTGTGTTACACTTTAATACAGTTCTTATGATGGCTCATAAGGGATCTTTAGTAATTTTGTTTTAATTTGCCAATTTCAAGTTTGGTTCCTCTACTAGCTTGAATGTTCTGGGTTTTTAAAATTCCTTATCGCCTTGAATTTTGACTCATCAACATGACTGAAAGCTCAATGAATTAGAAGATGGAAATTTATTTGTTAATAAATTGTTGATAAATTTGTTATGACTGTTGCAGGAGCTGCAATTCTTCAATGAATCACTGCAACAACTAAAAATGGCCCAATTGAAATTTAGTGAATCAGGAACTTGTGTAGAGAAGGTAAAATTTGATGTGCACTTGATACAGATGTCAATTATATATACATGTGATGTGCACTTGATACAGATGTCAATTATATATACATGTGCATGATCTGAGATAACTAAATTTAAATTTGAATTTCAAAATATATCAATGCAATCCTACTATTGCATTGAATGTATTATCTGATTTCAATTCTAAATTTTAATACCTATTGCATAACTTGATGAAATTTATGTAGCCCTGCAATCATGAAGATCTTTGTTCTAGCTGACTCCTGATAAAGCTGGTGCTGAAATTTTAGTGCCTCTCACCAGCTGCATGTATGTGCCTGGCAAGATTGCTGATGTAAACAAACTGTTGATCAATGTTGGAACTGGTTACTATGTTGAAAAGGTGAGCATTCTTCTCATTTACAATTTTGCTTTAAATTGGGTTGGTATCCATAGTTTATTAACCCTAGTTGCCAACTTACTTGGGTCCAATTTATGCAATTAATTTTTTACTTTGAGATGCTTGCTTTCAAATTGTCCCAATTATTTTCTTTCTAACCTCATCCATGACAATTGCATACACAGCGTTAGCACCCTGTCACAGATGCCTAGTTTGCCGGTGCTTGAGTAATGAGTGAGGTGAGACAGACGTTCTTTTGTCTCTGGCAAAAAATTTGCTTGAAAACAAGAGTGGTGTTCAATGATAGATATATAAAATATAGCATGATATTTTACATACCAGTGAGTAATTTTAAAGGATTTATGATTTGATTGATTCAGTCTAAACTTGTGGAATAATTATGTTTTATTTTTCTCGTCTTTTGAGTGTAAGTACCTGCAATATATCACTTTGAATAGATTGTAGACAAATTTAATGCAGTTGACATACTTGGAAACTTGAAACTTGGAATTCAAACATAAAATAGGTTTAGGGTTATTAGTGGATATGACTGATAGAGCAACATCCAAAATGTAGAGGTGATAAATTATGCAATTGCAGTTGCTAAACCCATATTTTGGTTGAGTGTTGATTTTTGTCATATGAATTATACTAAAAAAACATTGTTGGTGTTGTGATGAAAGTTGTAGTAATGAAGTGTAGTAATATTTGAAGCAACAAAAGTGTTAGTCATTTGCATTTTTTTTACTGCTGCAAATCAGTACATAAGCCTACTGCTGCCGCAGTTGATGCTCTCTCAGAATAAACTATTAGTCTAAAAATGTTTTCATGTGCTGGCATTTGTTTTATTGATTGTTTACTTGAAAATTGATGGTCCAGAAATCTATTTGTTGGAGGAATAAGAAGGGGGATGGTGGTGCTAATCATTTCCTGATACAAGCCTCCCACATTAAATGGTCGGTGTAACAGCAGCAATGGAGAAGCAATGCCATTTCTGTTATTTCCCGTTCTACAAACTTGTTCTGCACACAAATATCTTGTGCAATTCCTTCTACATCTGACATTTTTTTTGCCAAATTTATTCTTCTCAGTTATTTTTATATATTTTAAGAAGTTATGCCAAACATCTTGTATGACTTCTTTCTGAGCCTAAAAACCAGAAGTGAATCTTACTGCTACTTATTCAGACATTGGTGTAAATGTCTTGAAACTTCTATATATATTCTTTACATTCATTCTACGATTTAATTCTCACTATGGACTTGTTTATATTTTCTTTAATTAAGTTTTTTTGTTATCTTTGAGTTTCCTTTAAAAAGAATATAAATATAGGGATGTATGGTACAACACTAGCCATTTTTTTAATTAGATGCCGCGCAGTCTTGCACAACGCAGAGTGAGGCAAAAAATAAAGGTGTAAGATTAATGAACGGTATAATACTGCAAATGAAAGCTTTCACTATTGAAAATGCATTCAAATATTAGTTAATCATTTTTAAGTATCAATTATTTTTACTTCTAACCCAGGATTCAGCAGGGGCGTGCTCATATTTTCAACGGAAAGTGAAGTTTGTTACGGAACAGATGGAAAAAATACAAAAAATTGCTGCTGAGAAAACCAAGCTAAGAGAAAGTAAGTCCTATGCGATGAATTGTTTGACAATATATGAAAGAAAATATAGTAGAAATGGCTATTGAAGAGCTGCATGTATAGGTTTTACTTGCTCATTGACTTGTTTCTTTGCAGAATTGTGATTATTTTTGTTTTAAATATTAAAAAAGGCTTATCTACCTTTGAATGTGTCAATTTAAAACATCTTCTGTATTATGTATAAAATCAGCTAAAAATTAGCTAGAACTTGCATTATATATTCATCTTGTGCATAAAGAACAGAAAATTTTTGCATTGAGCCATTAGGATTTTCCTCAATGCTTATAGGCTCTAAATAAATTTGGTACCCATTTATCCTGCGCCATAGTAGATTTCTTTCATAAATCATTTATTCATAAATTGTTCATGCTGTGCTCATCTGATTTCGTTTATGTTTCAGTTGTGATGGACATCATGGAAGTGAAGGTGAATGAACAACTGAGTATGCTTCAGCAACAGAAGGCAGCCGCCGGCGCTGCTAAAGCTTGATATCTGCCTCTAGTTACCGGGATAACTCGTTTTTCCCTGTTGTTTCTCATTTAAGTCTTCGTATATTTTTCTTGAATCGTGAATGTGCCACTTTACTACTACATCTTACTTCTACTGTTTCACTATTCCGTGGAACCTAATCTCTGTATTTTGTTCGCAAGCAGTTGATATGTTATTGTCTTGCAAACTCCGGGTCGATAAAAACCTGCTGCTTTCTTACTCTTTAACTTTTATCTCTGCTCAATATTGCTTATCCAGATTTCTTTCAAGTGCTTCATTTAACGTGACACCGCAAGAAGATTAGGTTACTCTCCTTTAATGGAGTTTGTTTGACACTAATACTTGTGTGACTTATAATTTGAGGATCAAATTCTTACTAAAGAGATGGCAATGAGCATCGTGTGCAGGTTATATTTTCCAATTATACTAAAACTAGGCAGACTGACGATTTAACTGCGGCCTAGTCTATAGTTTTTTCGTACTGATTTTTCGTACTTTTCACTTATTTTTATAGTTCTTATTATATTTCTGTTACAATGGCTAAACTTATATTTATCGGTGATGGTTGTTGCCCATAAGAACCGTTCTAGAGTTCATGGTTGAGACAACTGCATCAAGCTTGCCACCAATACTCAGTTGTTGAGGCTGTAATATCAAAACTTGCTTCTTAAGTACACATAGTGGCCGATTACCGGTATCTGATTGGTTGATTTAGCGTGAAAAGCTGTCCACTGTTTGTCTGTCGGAAGTACGAACTGAAATATTTTTTATCTAGCACAATCCTTGATTAAGTACCGAACCAACATGGACTCCTCATATTTGTTCCCTAGAGACTCGACGATCCAATCTCAACTATCTGAATTTCAAGCTAACTAATAAACACGGTAAAGTTGATTTACGTGTGTGTCGTTTCTCTCATTAATGACCCACTTTGTTTCATTATAAAATGATGTTGCGTCTTTATAGAATCTGTTAAGTTAATTTAGCTCTAATGATGGATTATTCGCAAGCTACTGCACTGACTATCGCAAAAAGTACAGCGTGGCGTCTGCTACGTTTAACTTCCCTGATTAGAGCAAGTGACAAATAAACGTAATGAAATTCACAGTCTGGTGCTAACTTACAGAAATTGCAGAGCTGTTCTTGACTCGGATAGGAATGATATTAATACCTTGCTACTATTCTCCGAAGAGCGTGCCGAGCGTATAAACATTCCGTATCCCTCTTGTGCATCTAAACTATAGAAATCTGAAAACCAGCATCTAATCAGTGTGGTTATTGGGCCATATTCCTGCCTGTTCGAAGCCCTCTCCTGCCTGTTTGAAGCCCTCTCCTGCCTGTTCGAAGCCCTCTTTGCCTGTTTGAAGCCCTCTCCTGCCTGTTCGAAGCCCTCTTTGCCTGTTCCCTGATCGGATACAGTCGTTTTCATTTCATCACAAAGTTCTGCTCCTTACCACCTCTGGGGGGCGCCGTTCGTGCGTTAAGGGAACCGCTGCGCTCCCTGGGCACCCCGAGCAGACCACGACGTTTACCCACTGAGGGTACCCACACAGTGAAAGCAGGTTTGCATGCGCGGGCAACCTGCTCCAACCTGCCACAAGAATGAACATAGGATAATAATGTAAGTGTTCACAGTGAAAACCTGTACGAATAGGCTTCTGTATGCTATGGTTTCAACCTGCCACAAGAATGAACATAGGATAATAATGTAAGTGTTCACAGTGAAAACCTGTACGAATAGGCCAGCGCCAGGCCTATTTATTTCAATTTCAGGCGCCAGCCTCAGCAGGTAATCAGCACGCTGGCAACCTGCTTTCACTGTGTGGGTACCCTAACGCTAAAATGCTTCTTAGGTTCTTTCTTGCTCACCAACGTATATCGCTCTTTAGGTTCACGTTCTGTCATGGAAAATTTTTTCCATGCTTGGCTAAGCCTCGTTTGTGCCAAGTAATATTTTATATGAAGATAATAGCACCTGAATGATGGCCGAAAAATAGTTTAATTTGTTGTGGTAATGCATTAGAAAGGTGGTTAACGCCATTATACGATTTGGCTGGACGAAACTCTAGACGTGTGGCGTTATCCTGCGAAAATATCCATACAAACTTAGACGAATTTGATTGAAAAAAACTGCTTAAGATTTTATTATTACACCGACGATTAGCGGCAGAGTATCTTTGAAAAGTTATCACGAGACGTGCGATTTTCCCACTAAATAGCACCCATTGGGATAAATCAAATGTAACTTTAGGTAGAGGAAAGTTAGCGTATACCTGGCCTGTAGATATTAGTTATTGAGTTGCGTTCTAACGCAAAATTATACAAACAAAGCACTTACGAGATGTCCTGAGAATACAACGCAATTATGCCAAATATTTTATAATCAGCGTTTCATTCTGGGTCCTCTTAACACGGCCTGCTAATGCGAAATGATAAATTGCGCGAAGTTCACGATGATCGCATCGTACATCAGCTAGCCCGCATGATGCGTTCCACTGCGCCTGGGATCAAAATACCTGACGAGAGCTGGGGGCGTCTGTATACGAAGGCGGTGCTTCAGCGTAGCCTGGGACTGCTATTTGCGAAACACTATAAGGAAAAACAAATCCTTTAAATGTACTTTTCCTTCCGATTATCCTAATAGTTACTCCTGGCAGCTATGGAGGTTTTAAGCTCCAACAAAGAAAAATTAAAGATAGGCTTCATCGGCGCTGGCAATATGGCATCTGCCATCATCGCTGCACTGCTGAAGAAAGGTGAGAATCTGCCTGTCACAAGATCACGGGTGACTGAAGGAGTCCTATGAAGAGCTTGGAAATAAATTGTAATGTAGGGGATCTACTTCACTCCCCCAGAGTGAGTGGAGTTTGAGTTTCCAGAAATGTTTGAGCTTGACTAGCAGATTAAAGCAGCCTGGGGGCAAAACATCACAGGACTGTACAGTAAACATTGACGCTGTAGGTGAATAACTGAATTAATTAATGTATGAATTTATAATTAAACTTGGATTCGTTAACGGGATGTATTAACTGGGATTCATTAGGATACACAACTGCTGTATCAACTGATGTACTTTGTGCACGACTCGAGCTGGACCTCCTATCACTAGGATTTAATTACGTCGCCATTTTATCGATATAGTAGCAGACTGTTTCGGTATTGAAAATTATGAAGCAATGAAATACTTTTTTTGTTTTGTGAAATATAATTTACGAGGGCTTATGGATTCTCCACATAATTCTGATATTTGTTTGGCGAAGACTTTTTTGGTGGCCTGAGCAGGCGCCGTGGCACCGGAACAGCTCATCGTCAGCGCCCGCACCGACACTCGCCTAGCGGAGCTACGGCAGCGCGGTATCGCCACCACCACCGACAACGGTGGGCCTCTGAGTTGAAGACATAAATCCAAAGCTTTTTCTGTGTATTATTTTCTACAGCTCGAACGAAATAATTCGTAATGTCTCAAAATGAGTACACAATATCGCAAGATTAGAACCGCGTATTTGAAATCGATTTGCTTGAATGCGTGACCATATAATCTTAATTAATTCAAATATTATAAAACGCAATCTTAATACTTCTTATTTGTCGATTTAAAATGACTGTAATACCGGTTTGCAATTTTCGAATAGTTTTAATTTGATCATTGTTTTTCCATTGAGAAATTCCCTCTACTGATTAGTATCAATTCTACTTCAAAAGTTGATAAGAATACTAAGCAAGAAAAAAGGAACTCAAAGCAGTCATGCAGTCGTGAGGAACTTGATCAACCGCGGGTAAATATCTCCCAGCTCTCTATAGGCTATATGTCCATATTAAGTATAGCGTAATCAGCTTTTATTTGGCCATGTTGTTCTGTAACTTTTTTTTAACACCAGCTACTTTAGCGTTTTTGATCACAATATCAACCATTTGTGTGATTTAAACTGGCAACTCGTTGCTGCAATCTTGATGGTCCACTTGGACATCCCGAGCTTGAAGTAGTAATTTAGACGTTCATCGCTGCTATGAGCCAAGACCTTCACCCCGCGCCGCATTGGCATTGGAAAAATTCAAGGCAGATCGCTTTAGCAAGAGTACGAAATTGTAGACATGGATACTGTCTCGCTTCTGTCTCGCTTCATATCAGTGCCATCAACGCGCTTGATACCAGCGCCGATTGGGAAGACTATGACGCGTGATAGTTCAGTAGTTTAAGTAGCACGTGTGTTGCAGTGCGCGTGGTGGTGCAGCAAGATAAGTAGCACGTGTGTTGCAGTGCGCGTGGTGGTGCAGTAAGATAAGTATCACGTGTGTTGCAGTGGCTCTGCTGAAGCAGTGCTCGGATGGTGTGGTGTTTCTCTGCGTCAAGCCCCACGTGTGGCCCGCCATAGCCCCTGCCCTCATGTATGGTGGTAGACGCGCTCTCTTCATCTCTGTGATGGCCGGTGTCTCCATACAGAAACTTTCCCAAGTAACTACATAAACGATAAGAAAAATAATAATTGACATACATTAATCTTAGGATTAGAATTATCTATTCCTGGCCCCATGTTATTAATCTATAAGAATAATCTTGATCCATCCATCAGGATTATACATCCGTAGCGCCAAATCTATAACTTACTAAAGTACTCATTTTTTTATAAGAGGTTCAAACGAGTATACCATAATAATGTCTACGACAACCATCTTTTTTTACGCATTAAGTTTATCAATAGTACGATGATATCAACACACAAGAATCATCTTGGTTATTTATCCATCGTAAGCACCGCCAAACTTATCTACCAGTTCTCGTATGTTCGTTGCTCGGCAGGCCTTTGGAGAGCGAATTGACCTGTTCAGTCTGGTGCGGGCTATGCCCAACACGCCCGCCCGCGTTGGCGAGGGCTGCTGTGGTGAGTTGCTGGCGATTTTCAATCATGCATTAAAGTTATTCTGATTAATCCCTGCAAAATTGTTATGAAGCATCAAATGCAAAACCGCCATTTCGTTCAAATGGTGCGTTTGTTGGAATTAAGATCTAGGATGATAGCATTTGAAACCCCCTTGAATATGATATTGTCAGCGTATATATCATCTCACTTGTGTGCATGATAATATCACTGCCTGCCACATGTACGGTAGCTCTAGTAAATTCATGAGTAATCTTTCTATTCACCATCGCACACACAATGACTCGCTTGATCTGCAGTTTACGCGGTTGAGTCCGTCTTGTCGGCCGAGCGGAAAGCCCTCGCTGCGGCGCTGCTTGGCTGTCTGGGACTCGTGCGGGAGGTCCCTGAGCAGCAGATAGACGCGGTCACGGCCCTGGCCGGCTCTGGTCCGGCCTACATCTACGTCGCCATCGAAGCCTTGGCCGACGGCGCCGTTAAAATGGGACTGCCTCGAGATCTGTAAGCAGGCAGAGATGGCCGATGTTTTCGTAATTATTGCACTTCGCAATTCAATTCAAATCTCAAAGCATTTAAATGTTCGTCATAATTTAACAAATCTGTTGCTGTAAAGATTCTTTTCCTTCCTAATGTCCCCTCTCTCTCTCTGATTCACTACCATAATTTCTCTACTCAATGCAATGTTTCATCGGTGGCACAGAGCGCTAGCGCTCGCAGCACAGACCGTGCGCGGCGCTGCGACGATGGTGCAGGAGACCGGCAAGCATCCCGCGCAGCTCAAAGACGAGGTCTGCTCGCCCGGTGGCACCACCATCGCCGGCATTCACAAGCTGGAGGAACATGGCTTCAGGTCAGGGGCTGGTGCGCGGATGTGGCCGTTGGGGTCTAGTGCATGGATGGGGCTGTCAGGGGCTGGTGCGTGGATGTGGTTGTTGGGGTCTAGTGCATGGATGGGGCTGTCAGGGGCTGGTGCGTGGATGTGGCTGTTGGGGTCTAGTGCAAGGTATGAGGCTGTCAGGGGCTGATGCGTGGATGTGGTTGTTGGGGGTCTAGTGCCTGGATGGGGCTGTCGGGGGCTGGTGCGTGGATGGGGCCGTTGGGGTCTAGTGCATGGATGGGGCTGAGGGGCTGGTGCGTGGATGGAACCGTTGGGGTCTAGCGCATGGATGGGGCTTTCAGGGGCTGGTGCGTGGATGGAGCCGTTGGGGTCTAGTGCATGGATGGGGCTGTCAGGGGCTGGTGCGTGGATGGAGCCGTTGGGGTCTAGTGCATGGATGGGGCTGTCAAGGGCTGGTGAGTGTGCCGGGTCGTTAGGGGATGACATCTGGGGTTCATTCGGAAGTTAGGGCTTGGTCAGCAGTGGCTGACGCTCGTGTGGGCTTAAAAGTTCTGAGTGATGTAGCGCTGAACCCTAGTGCGAAACTCTTCTTCTGTATGAATGTCCTCCAAAGCATATGCAGTATAGTATAGGAATATCTTCAAAAAAAATTCAGCTGTCGGAACCCTCCTGACCGCCAGAGCAGGCTTACGCGAAATGTAACTACCTATTTCGTTTATTTACAAGTCAAACTGTAATTTTCCTGGCTCGTCTGTCGACTGTCTTCCACCCTAAACATATCGTTCGGGATTATGCTTCAACATTACAGATCTCGAGCCATGTATGTGATAACAAATTTTGTGCTCAAGTTCCAGTACAATGACAAAAACGTGTAACTATAATAATATTAACATCGTCCATCTCTCACGCTATTATGCCCTCTCTTGCCTACCTCGCTGGGTCTGGTGGTGACTCACTTTACCCTATGCAGGAACGCTCTGATCTGCGCGGTGGAGGGAGCAGCCTTGCGAGCCAAGGAACTGGGACAAGAATGAGGTTGACGTGAAGCATGTCATGCATATGGAACCTCTGGAGCTCCGTGCAACTTTTTCGACAGCTTATTCCTCTTAGCACCCATTTCTCATTGCCCGAAAATCTATGCTATATTTCAGAATGTAGCTCTGGATGCTTGGGTGTTTGTTTGTCTGCCGTCACGGACAGACGGACGGACAGACGGACAGACAGAGAGACAGACGGACATGGCGAGCACAATAGTGCATTTTTTCCATAAATGAGAAAATGCGCTAAAAATATCTCTTCAATCTCGTGCGCTAAACCTGGTTGGAGTTCTTGGATCTGAAGTGTCATTATATTACCTTCATTGAATGAACAAAAGCCTAGTCTATAGCTGCAACTCTTCTCATAAATATTTTTAATACATTACTGTAACATGTTAAATACGTTCACTTCATATTTTCTTAACATTTTTCTTAGATTCTTCATGCTTGCTCATTATGTTTCAGTAACATACTTATGACTCATTCCTAGCATTTCCATCTTATATTCTGCGTACACTTTCCAGACGAATTCCATACACTTCCAATGCATTTTCAACCATTTGTCATAGATTTTTCATAAATTTTGTACACTTTTTCAGTTTTCAAACAGCCTTAATAAATTTTCATGATTCTACTAGTTTCCAAATAGTTTTCATATTATTTTCATCGTCATACTAACTTTCGAAGGACATATATAACTTTTTTTATGATCTTAATAGTTTTAAAACGGTTTTCGTGATGTTATTAGTTGTCAGTGAATTTTTATACTTTTTCATGATCTTAATATATTTTAAACGGTTTTCTTGGTTTATTTTCTACGTTTGATGCATGCCATTGTAAATTTTTAGGACTTATTAAGCGCTTACCCAGAATGTCTACCGTGTAAAGTACCAGGATGGTTGTAAGACAGAAAGATCTGAAATTCGAAAGGATCCGACGGACATTGGTATAGCAACACGAGTGATAAATGTGGCTCCTAAACTGTAAACCAACATTACAATTAAAGCTTTTTGTTTATTTGTTTTATGATGTCCTTGATACTGATTATACTGCTAGTACCCAACTGACTATGAATGTAATTATAATTTATTTATGCCTACTCATGTAGTATAGCAATTGCGCCACGAATTTGTTGTGGCATTTGTATTATTTTGATCTCATCGGTGCCACGAGCGTCAACTTTTAACCGAAAATTGCGTTAATAGCCACGATTAACGTTAATATAAAGACAATAGCCATCTCCACCGCAAATCTCTTACACTATCATCGCAAGTAGCAGTTATGGTATGAGAAACTGGTGCTGATGGAATCTCTTCAGGCATGCAGCTACTAATAGGCAACTTCAACGCCACTTGGTATAGTAAAAGTTAATGAAATTAGCGCAAGTTCCTCCGCTTTCTGTACACAATTAAATCCACCTATCATTCGAAAATTAATGCCTTTCAAGCCTATAAGATGGGCTTACAGCCTCTCCTGCGGCGTGATGTGCAGAGAGCTTTCTTGGGAGGCCAAGTGAAGGTGCATGCAAAGGTTTTTTTTTCATGCGAAAGTGAAATTTCTTGAAACCTTGTGTTTCTGGTTGAGCTTCACCCAAGTTGAAATTTATTAGTGTAGCATTTTTGTTTATTCATTTGTGTCGCTAGGCAATGTGCAGTAAATGTGAGTGTTTGTGAGCCTCTATATTATCCTTTCTTGAGGCATGATAACGGTATTGGGTTTAATTATAAGCGAGCTAATTTGAATCGACTTGTCTGAACCTCACAGGGAACCTGAAATTTGATATAATAGATAATAGATTATCGATCTCAAATATTATCTATTACTATATAGATAATATATTATATTAGATAAAATTTGATATAATAGATATCATAGTGAAAACACTGAAATTTACGAATGAACCAACGAACATATTCATGATCAACTTGACATTCACCGGTGGCAGTACGTTTCTTATTTACATTTCATTCTCTTATGCCGCTTTTCTACTCAAATACTTACATGTAATGGGTATATTGGCTTTTTAGTAACCTATAAAAATATCAGTTTCTCAAAGGCCTATGTAAGCAATATAAGAGAGTACTTTCACTTTCTGAACAATCAGCTCCCTTGGTGTGAGAACATTTCATCGAAGCGGTATTCAGTAGATTACATATTCTATAGTTTCATGTTCCTGCTTTCGTTATTTCCTTTCGATTTTACCGAACTTTTGCTTATAGCTTCTGCTAGTATGCTATGATACTCACCCTTGAATGAAAGTTATGTATTCATGTTTATCTAAGATTACATTTTCCGCCTATGAGAGACATAAAGCAATTAACCCTCTGCCGCCGTATGTCACTCTCCGGGAACATAACTTTCAACATAAATTATACTCAGGAATTGCAATATTCATATACGTTACTGATAAATGAATCATTTAGTGACCGGCAAATAATATTTATTAAAATTTTTGGTGGTAAATCTGACTTGTTTCTTCAAGACGCAGAAGATTGTACAATAAACGAGTTGAATCATTGTAGATGAAGCAATCGCATCCTTCTTGCGCTGCAAAATTACCAAGTAGATTCAAGCTCTGCCTTCTTTCATTAAAAAAGCTTGTTTGTCAAACTATCTCGCGCTTCTGAATCGCATTTGGCATGGTAAATATTATGAAAAACACAGTATTTTGTGTCGGTGGTCTGCTCGCCGTAGCCTAAGCGCCGTTACACTCATCCTTGTGTGGGACGGCAGGCGGTTGCCCACGTCTCTGTGTTTGGGGAAACCTCGCGTCCGACTCAGATTTAGTGTGCACGATGTCTGTAAATTGTTGACATGTTCACTGACAGCAGCTCTTGATTAATGCATTGCTTTAAAATGGCGGGTCCCTAGATTTAATTTTCGATCTCCCTACACCGGAACTCGACGTAATCTGAAGTGATACGATATGTTTACAGCGCTTCGGCATGCTGACCGAGGTAAGTGTCGTGCCAAAACTTCGATTCTCAGCTAAATACTACAAAAATTCTCATTCAAGCGTTAAAAAATTTCATTCAGAAATTGGATGCGACTTAAGGGACGTCGTTGCGAAATGGAGTGAGATTCGATTGCAATATTTGCTTAACCTTGCTTCACCTTCGCAATATGCAACTGGTGTGTCATAGTGTAGTTCTAATGAAAGTATTGTGGTCGTCAGTAAAAACAATTATAATTTTTTATTATTGTGCCTCACCGTTAGCTTAACAATAGTTGTTAACATGATGTCGAATGCACTGGCCTTTCTTTACAACAATTTTAAATGTATTACTCATAGAATAGAATAGAATAGAAGTGTCGGCGTTGAAGACATAGGCCCATGGCCTGTTGCCGATTCTTGAACTTTTCGTGACTTGAATCACAAGGGATCCGGCCTTTGGAACCCGATCTTTCCATAACTGACGATTGATTGAGATAGCTGCTGGACTTATTGCCTGGTCCGTAATTTGCTAGGCATTTTAAGACTGAACATATGCTCCTGCATAGCTTCGTCTCGTCTGTTTTTGAAGATGTTCATACCCTGTCTCTTATACACATCTAGATGTGTATAAGAGACAGCTCGAAAGAGCGTCTGATCAGTCCAAGTCGTTGATTGGCTTTATTAACTTGACCTTCAATATGCTTAGAAAATTTCAACTCATTGTCGATATTAACTCCCAAATCCTTTTCCGTTGTCGACTTCGACATCGTCACTCATGGATCCCAGAATCGAGGGGTTCAGTAAAAGCCATGTTTTATGCCAATACAAAACACTTGTTGCGAGTAAAATTTTCCCTTGATATGAATTTCATTTTCCTTGAAAATGTCAGACTAAACAGTTGAACATTCATAGGTCCTTGAGCAAAACTTGAGGATAAACTTGAGTGCACGGGGATATAAAGATTCTAGTATGCCCGAGTATTTAGCGTTCTCAAACTGCATAGGCAAATGAAAGTCCTTTAACTTCAAAGTTATATAGCACTAAGTGCACAGGAAGATAAACGTTGTATATAGATGTTCTGTAGGTGCCCAGGCGTACGATTGTTCTCAAAATACCCATGCACAGAAATACCCTTGAAGTGCTCATCTATATAAACGTTTTCAAAGTGCCCAGGTAAATAAATGTTACTAGGTAAGCAAATTAAATACACGTTCTCGAAATACCTATGTATACAAATGTTTTCAAAGTCCTCAGATATATAAATGTTTTCAAAGTGAGGAAGTATATATATAAACGTTCTGTAAATGACCAGATTTGCAATCAATTTTGAAGTGCCCCGGAATATAAACGTTGTGTACTTGCCCAGGTACATAAACGTTCCCTTAGTGCTCAGCCACATTCGTGCGGCTATTGATTCGCTGATTCGTGCGGCTGGAACATTTTATGTTGGATGCCTCAGTAATGTTCATAAACGTTGGCCAGGTGGGTACGGCGCACCGCCACTTGCCCCTCTGTTTATTTGGCTTGATAGTCTGGCACATACAAACAGGGGAGCTCTGCTCTTGCTCTTGAGACCACATCGCCTGATCGTTACAAAAAATATTACTCAGTACTCACTGCAGTGAGTGACAGAGAGCGCATTTTCTCGTCGACGAAAACTTGAGGTCACGGACAGACGGACGGACAGACGGACAGACAGACAGACAGACGGACATGGCGAGCACAATAGTGCATTTTTCCATAAATGATAAAATGCGCTAAAAATGTTAAGGTTAATGCTATAGCGATACAAAAATGTTAAAGTTAATGCTATAGCGATACAAAAAATGTTATGGTTAATGCTATAGCGATACAAAAATGTTAAAGTTAATGCTATAGCGATACAAAAATGTTAAAGTTAATGCTATAGCGATAAAAAAATGTTATGGTTAATGCTATAGCGATACAAAAATGTTAAAGTTAATGCTATAGCGATACAAAAATGTTAAAGTTAATGCTACAGCGATACAAAAATGTTAAGGTTAATGCTATAGCGATACAAAAATTTTAAGGTTCAATGCTATAGCGATACAAAAATTTTAAGGTTAATGCTATAGCGATACAACAATGTTAAGGTTAATGCTATAGCGTCTTTCGCAGTGCGATGCCTTGTGGTTGTAATGCTTATAAAATAACCTTCTAGTGTTGCACTGTAAAGAGGTCATATAATGCT